CTTCTAATCAACAGACTTACAATAAGAAAAATCATTTTTTGATGAAGAACCGTTAGCCCTTGTAAAAGGAATTCTGTGTTGATTAGCCTTGTAAGCTTTGTTTCCAAGTGACTTCTATTACACATGTATTGTAGATGATATTTTTACCAGAGAATTCGGACGTAATATTTAGTGGCCCAACTCCAGTGGGTATTGATATTTTGAATTATAAATTATTATTTTAAAAACAAATTGTTCGTTTCTTTTATGTGATAAACATTTTTTTAAATGTCTTTTTCAATAAATTTCAGTCAATTAATGTACCATGTTTTTCAGGGGCATTAATTCAATCTATTATTACATTAATTACATAGAAAACCCATTTTTTAAAAACTCTAATATAATTTTTATGATCTTGGGAAATCTTGGGAAATTTGTTCACCAAATCTTGGGACATTTAAAAAATGTGAGTGGCAGCAATGTGTCGCAACACCGCTTGTCGACTCCACTATTTTTGTTGACATTCCATCCATCCCTGTGGCGCTACGGCCCATGTAGCAATGTAGGGCTTTGGCCTGCCTCACCACTTCCTTCCACTCAGACCTAACTAATGCCTTCCTTTTCCATGCTTGGACTTTCAGCGCTTGTAAATCTTTTTCTACATCATCTATCCTCCTAAGCCTAGGTCTGCCATTTTCCTCTGGGGTTTTGGTGATGTACCCTATTCGTTCCTCTGTCATTCGCTCTAGGTGTCCTGCCCAGCGTAGCCTGCCTCTTTACTTTTTATTTCTACCACTATCGTAGGATCCTGATATAGACTGTATAATTCCTGGTTGGTTCGTATTCTCCATCCATATTCATCCTTTTTTGGTCCATATATTTTCCTGAGAATTTTCCTCTCCCATGTGTTTAATAGGTTTTCTTTGTTGACATTCCAGCGTTCTCAAAAGTATCTAAAACGCTTATCTACACAAAAATAAAAATATTTTCGTTTTTCTTAAGGTTAGCATTAATTTGATTACTAATTTTTTCTTATGGATTGTGTATTTGTAGTTAGTAATTTAAACAAATTTGTATGTTGCAGAAATGCAACATTATATGCATCTCGCCATTTTTTTATTAGTAAAATACCATTGTTATGCTTGATCAATTTTTGTGTTGCTAAAGTCTAAAGACTAATATTTTTGTTTTGACCATTTTATTATTGATAGCATTAGTATTGCCATTATTTATTTGATCAATATTTTGTATGTTGTTTATTTGGTTTTATTTATTTATTTTTTGGGTACTAATGACTTAATTATAGTAGTAGTAGTAATAGTAATTAATATAAATTTTTCTATATTTTTCAGCTGTCAAACAGACGCGAAAAGAAGCTACTAACTGAGGAGGAGTTGCAATACATGATAGACAATTTAAGTGAACTTAGTGAAGATGTAGATTTGTCAGATGTGGATTCCCTTATTGACCCTGATTATTTACCTGATGATGATGAAGACTTACAAAGTTTGAACCAACAAGATGAAGATGAAGTGACAGCCGAGATAAGCTCAAATGATGAAGGACATCATGAAGCTAATACTGAACAGGCTGCACCATCCAATTCAAAGTCACAAAAGAAAGGGACGGAGATAATTTGGAAAAATAAGAACTTGGTCTTGAACGAGGATCAGCTTAGATTTCATGGGAATGACAATCTTCCAGGTGTATTTCAAGAAATGAGCTCACCATATGAATTTTTTCAACACTTTTTTTCAGATGATTTCCTGCAAAAGATTGTTGATGAATCAAATTTATCGCCACAGAGACTGACATAAACAAGCCACTAAATCTCAATACATCAGAACTGAGACAATATATTGGTATGATTATTTAAATGTCAATATTACGCTTACCAAATGTGCGATGCTATTGGTCACCAGATTTGGAACTTAGCATGATAGTGAACTATATGCCAGTTAATAAATTTGAGAAAATTCGCCAGTTTATTCATTTCAATGACATCACCAAACATTTACCTCAAGATAACTCTTCTCATGATAGACTTCACAAAATAAGGCCACTTATTGATCATCTCAATGTAAAAAATGCTATGGTTCCTCTAGAAGCACAATTGTCAGTAGATGAACAGCTATGCTCTACAAAAGTCCATCATTTCTTAAAGCAGTATCTTCCAATGAAACCCTTCAAGTGGGGTTTTAAATTATTTGTGCTTTGTGGAGTGAGCGGATTCGCATATAAATTTGAAGTGTATTCTGGTCAAGAAAACAAAAGAAAAGAATCGGATCAACCCGATCTTGGAGCTTCTGCCAATGTTGTGATAAGATTATCCACAATCATCCCAGCAAACCAAAATTACAGGCTGTATTTTGATAACTACTACACCTGCCCTGCTCTGTTGGCATATCTGGCTAAAAAAGGTATATTTAGCTTGGGCACTGTTCGCCGAAATAGAATACCCAATTGCAAACTTCCCACAGAAAAGGAAATGAAAATGAAAAAGGATGCTAGAGGGACATCATACAAGTTTGTCGGAGAAGTAGATGGAATAGATGTAACCTCCATGGTCTGGAAGGATAACAAAGAAGTAACTCTGCTGTCAACATTTGCAGGCAAGCTACCAGTGACAACCATAAAATGTTTTGACAAAACAGCAAAGACAACGATAGACATTAGCTGTCCCTTTGTCTTCAAAGAGTACAATCGCCACATGGGCGGTGTTGACTTGCTAGATGCTATAATGGCTCGACACAAAATTGTTTTAAAAAGCAAGAAATGGTATCTGCGCCTTTTTTACCATTTCATTGACATGGCACTGGCAAACTCATGGATTCTCTTCAAGAGAATTTCAAAATGCAAAGCAAATGGTCAAGACAAAATGACATTTTTTGAATTCCGGAAGGAAGTGGATTTCTGTCTAATAAAAATTGGACAAAGAAATGCAATAAAAAGAGGTCGCCCTAGCACCAGCTCAGTGGAAGAAATGATGGCCGCTATAAAAAAAAGTGGCCCAGCCCAGCATGCCCCACCAAAGGACATTCGACTGGATCAAGTTGGACATTGGCTAACGTGGACTGATGTACGTGGCAGATGTAAATACCCTAAATGTAAAGGGTTTGCACAAACTCTGTGTGAGAAATGTGGCGTAAATCTTTGCTGCAATAAGAAAAACAATTGCTTCAAAAATTATCATGTTTCTGAATAAAAATTAGTCTTTGATGCATAATGTTGCAGATATACAACATATTTTTGTTTTAAAATAAATCATTACAACTTTAAAAAAATATTTTTTTAAACATTTTTTTCATGAATAAACAAATATATAATTAATACATACATATGATTTTTTTCAATGTTTTAAAAAAATATCATGCATTTAAGGGTTAAGACCTTCTGAAACGCTTGGGGGAGATTAGACCTACTGGAACACTTTGCAATTTAAAACATATGACAGTGCATAATCCTCAAGGTGTTTGAAACAATTGAACTAAACTTATAGTGACCATGTCGGGGTTATGATCATACTGTCGGTGCCATAATTAAACTTAAGGACTGTGAATGAAGACATATTCTATGACATAATTCATTAAGAATTAGTCTGTTAGAAATTAATTAATTCAAAATTCATTCAGATATTCATGAAATATACCATCATTTTATTACAGAGACATCAGACTGTTTACAGTGCTTAATTTTCACATATCTGCTTGTACACAATACCTAAGACTTAATAGAGGTCAAAAATCCCTTTATAAAGGCAAAGGTTTGAAAGATTGTAACAGAAACATTGTCAGAGTGTACAATTTTTTCTTTAAAAAAGAGAAAAAAGCTTAGGTTCAGATAACATGGTTCCATGGTGCTAGAGTCCATTTAAACATTTAACTTGCATTTGGATGGATGATTTTTTCTTTTTAAATGACTTTTCTATCAGCTCAGGAATCTGGTTTATTTGCATTTATGTCAGTATTTTGTATTGTCGGGGTGTCGGAGGGTATGTTTTAAAATCAAGAGGTTAAGGACCCCTGGGTTAGCTCTTATCAGCCAACAATTGAAAAAAAAAAAAAAAGAAGACATGTAATTGAAACTATCACTATAGTGTCTTTAAAGGAAAATCTCAATCATTCAAAATGAAAAGTTTCATAGTAAAATATCACTTGTTCAAAAATGCAAGCAAAGGAATTGGAAGAAAACTGAAACAAGGGCAGATAAAATTGTTAACTCCCCCCACCCACCCAGATTTGTTTTCTCCCTCTGCTAGATTTCCTTTCATAACTTATCTAGTGTGATAGCCAGGGTTGCATAACTTAATCTGGTGCGATAGCCAGTGTTGCCAAGATAGCCAGGGTTACTAAAGTCAGTAAATTCATTGACAGTCCTTACAAATGTGACCTAAGATGACTTATCTGTAAAAGAGTCCATAACGACTTTGAGGTTCTGTAAAAAAAAAAGGAGACTTTGGAAAAAGAACCTTTTGAATCAAAACAGAAAAGGAAATCTTAGCGCTTGCAATTTCTTCTTGCCGGTGTTAAACTTGTTTGAGAAATTTAGCATGAGAATTTCAACACTCATAAGAAAGGCATGCCAGCTAGCCTGCATTATAAAATACGCTCATATATATAGTCTTAGAGACATACTCAGATTGAAAAATAAAATTTACTATTTGATATTTCCTTAGCCTCAACAAATTTATTTTAAAAGTATGTCCATAAAAACATTTGTTGGTCCATAATATTTTGGAGATAAAGAATATTAGTCCATAAATGGTATTTTTATTAAGTTTGCAACCCTGATAACAGCTTCGGTCAACACCTTTCTCTTGGATATTAAAAAAAAAAAAAAAATCCCCCAAAAAAACAGTTAACTAAACATTATTGAAAATAAATTCTGTACTTTATTTCTGTTAATTTTGTACACCATATTTACAATAATTTTAATTTAAACTGAAAGAATAACAAAAAAAACAAACTGAAAAACAAACAAATCTCACAAATAATTTTAAAGTAAAAAAAAAAAAAAAAAAAGGAGTCACACAATTTCTATGTGTTTAACAGAATTAAGATATCCTCTTCTGATTACATAAACAATAATTAATCAAACAAGAAACATAATATATATGAAATCTGAAGAAATGGAGAAAAAGAAAATTTTCTTTTCAAACACATTGAATTGTTAAAACCAAAAAAATCATTTTTTTAAAGTAAAATGTCCAACTGCAGGTTGAATTATTTTTTTGCTGTTTATATTCCAGCTTTAGCCAAACAATTGTTACTACTACTACTGTAACCCTCTTTGGTTTCAAGTGAAAATTGGGGAGAGGGGTGTGGGGAGGGGGGGGAAAGGTGTTAAAGAAATGATTAAGTTGTTCTTTCTTGCCAAGGATAGTTTTAGCTTTCGCACATAGCTTGATACGGCAAAATTAATTTACACATAACTAATTAAATTATTTATCAATACTATTTTTAGTACCGGTACTTCTTTTTAAAAAATAAATTAACAACTTAATTAAAGCTAACAACTTTGCAGCAGATTATTCCCTTTGTCAAAATGATTTAGTGTTTCAAAATAAGTTACATTTTTTTTTACCAAATGTCACTCCATTATTCCAACTCCAGGAAAATTGTTGAATCATAATTCATGACGATTTCTCCAATCTAATACTAAAATTATCGCTTACACTGAAATTGTATTATGAATTTTGTTATTTTTAAAATAACTTTTTAACAAAACAACAAAAGAAAATGGTTAACAAGCTGATTGATAAAAACCCAACAAAAAACACAAAAATATGCTCATAGGATGCTTTTTATTTCTTTTAAAAAAATTAAAAAAACACAGCATTATTTCATTGCTAGTGTTTATTTTTTAATAAGCCCAGTAATTTAAACAAGATGAGGAAATGCTTGGTAAACAGTTCTGAGAAACCCTCTAAAAATAACTGTAACAGAATTATATATTGGTGAAGTACTCATCTTTTTTTTTTTTTTTTTTTTTTTTTTTTTCAATTTGCTTCCCTCCCCATTTCAAAAAATAAAATTTTTTTTTTTTTTTTTTTTTTTTTGCAATTTGCTTCCCTACCCATTTCAAGAAATGAAATATTCCAACTCACAACCACACCCCTCCAAATGTATTTAATGTTTACAAGCTGCATTGGGTAGTTTAGAGGACAGGAAAATAAGCAGAGATAAAAATCACACCCAGGTTATAACATCATGTAGGTAAAGTGCTTTTAAAAATGTCCTACAACTTTAAACACTTTTCTTAACTTTAGAAAAACATCTTGACCATTGCAAAAACTTATTTCCTCAATGATTTTTTTTTTTTTTAAATTCTCTTACTCTTGGATCAAAGCAGCTTTCAGAACCCGAAAACAAAGCAGAAATGTAATGTTCAATAGAAATTTCTTTAGAAAAAAAATAACACCACAAAAGAAACAAAATTAAATATGGCGATTTCTTTTTTTTTATACAGTTCTCAAGGGCATTTTTTTTTCTCAAAATGCAAGGTATTTTGTTAAGGCTGCGCTTCATTCAGGAAGCATCAGCAAGTTGTGTGGCTGGCCCATCAGAGTATCTCTTAACCCTCAAAGTTATATTTGTGTACAACAGCAGAGGGCTTTTGGTCAATATGCTTTCTATAAATTCGGCTTTATTATTTTCCAGCAAGCTTTCAGAGTGTTGGAATAATTATAAAATACTTTGCATGAATGACTCTGCGCAATTAGTTGGGAATTTAATATGAAAGGATGATAAATGATGATGGTTACACAAAGAATATAGCTCAGGTATGTGAAAGCGAAAAAAAAAATTATACTAAAAAATGTTTTAAAAATTAAATTATTTTCAAAAAAAATTATTCTATATCTTCAGCACTGATCAGGACAGTGGTTATTTCTGACACACAATTGAATTTTTTTCTTGAAAGTTTCAGTGTCCACTTTGTATTGTTTGAAGCGAAAAAAAGATCTTGAAATACTGACACCAGGCTCGATCTCAAGTGACATATGGTTCATCATAAAAGACCTCCAGATTACCAAATGTCCTTCAATTTATATTCTTGGTAATAAGTCAATCCTTGATTAGACATGAACAGTTTAATTTATTGCCATGGTTTTTCCCACGCAATCAGTGCAAGACGTAAAATAACAGTGAATCATTATACACATAATGTTGACAATGGAAACAGACTGGGGGGTGTTGGTTTTTTTTTTGGTTGAGAGTGGCAATAACTCCTCCTGCCATCTGGGCATTATTGAAAATGATTAATGCAACAGGGGGGAAAATTGTTAACAATTGTGTATAAAAGGTTATTAATGGAAATTGTTAAAAATGATACTTTTTGGTGGTGTTCCAAGTTTAAAAAAGTGAGTTGAAAACTGTGAAGTGTTCAATCCATGTTCATGATCCTGACTACAGACAAGATGGTGACCAATCGAAGGTTTCTAGCACATCCACAACACACAGAAACAAATATAGAATGAAGCTTTATAAGCTCAAGGCATGACAAATGCCAACTGTGGGCTCCTGACTAATCTCTCCTTCTCTTCTTGTCCCCATCCTAAATGAGAGGAGAAAGCAAAAAAATGTTAAGCATAAGTTTTGTAAATGTATGAGTTCACATAAAGGCACAAGAAAATGTTATGGACATTTAGTTGAGGTGGATCTATCTTCTTAATACAGTAACTACTTAGTATTTATTTATTTTTTGTATAGTTACTGTATTTTTTTTTTTTTTTTTTAGTTAGATAACACAAAAAAAACATTTTTAACTTGTTAAAAAAATGTTTGAAGATCAATGTGCACAATTATTTACACAAATGCCATTTCAACTTATGATCCTGCAAAAATTTAAATATAAAATAGCCCGAAAAGGCCCTCTGTATAATGCTATAAGTTTAAAATTACTTATTTCAAGAGGTAAAAGAAAAAATTGACTCTTGAGGTTAAATAAGTTTTTTCTTTTTAAAAAAAAAAAAGGGGGGGGGGTGTGTTTCCCTTCCTTTTTTTAGTTTTCTTCACATTACATTATGTGACAACCAATTAAAATTGACCATGCTGCTTAATGTTGCTTGTCGCATTCAATAACTGAAGCAGGAAAACACTGATATTTATTGATCACCTTGTTGCATTTTTTAATATTTTTCTCACAATCTCCTACAATGTCATACATTAAGCCAGGGGTGGGAAAACTTTTTGTGTGGAGGGTCACATTGACAAATGTAAAGCTATTGGGGGGCCGCATGTATATTATGTCCAATTTTTACATGTCGATAAACTTTTCTCTATATTAAAATCTGTAAATTCGCATTTTAGCATTACATGACAAAAGTCAAGGACTGTTTAAAAAAATTGAAAATCAGAAAGAAAGTTAATCAAAATGTTAAAACAATCATAAGGGTACCAGTACATGAAATTCTGTAAAATTCAAAAAAATAATTTAAAAACAAAGTAATTTTTTTAAATTTCTAAATGCCTGCGAAGGCAGCATAATATCAGTTGCCGGGCAGCATGTGGCTCTAGTTTGCCCACCCTTGCATTAAGCCATTTTATCTGCCGTTAGGGGACTTTTTATTCATTGCCAACTTCATGATACCAATAGTTTCTAGGCCTTAGCCCCAGCGTTTCCCCTGGACACCAACCACTATTTCAGGAGCAGTAGTTGCACAAGTGCTTTACGATAGCAACGATCTATGAGCAAGGAAAATGAAGATGAAATATTTCTTTCAAGCTAAGACACTCAGAACCACCAAGGTGTAGAATGTAAGAAAATGGCAGAGCTCATCACAAAAATTTAAAGCATTTTGATTTTTAAGTAGAGTGTCTGCAAGTGATGAATTGAATATGTAAGCAAACAGAATTCATTCTTTTTTTTCCTCACATTTCTAACAAGAGCCATTCTCCCCAATATGCGGGAATAAAAGCATACAGAATAACATGGAGAAAATTGGATAAAACTTGCCATTACAAAATCTATGTGAGCCAACTCATTTGGAACTTTTCTTTCTTGAATCTTTAGACTGTAAATATAGACAAGTGGTTTAGGCCTTTACTCACTTTTTTTCCTGTCTACAACGTATGAGCATTTCATTAAGAGAGTAGGAAAATAACACTTAATTTTTGTCAAGATAGGTTCAAAGCCAGGAAGACGAGGAAAGCCTTTACCGACTCTTTATGCATAAAGAACCAAAATACAGATGTAAAAATAAAGTTATTACTAAACATACACCTATCTTTTTTTGTAAAACAAAATAGGCAAGGTTACTCAGCTGGTAGAACTGAAGAGATACAAACTAATCATACTTGCCACCAACCCAACTCAGAGACACATGGTGATCATATTCCATTTGTACAACAAATGGGACAGTAATGTACACCTGACACGCAGAAATATTGCAAAGAGTCAAGTGTGAACCACACAAAGCAGAAGGTGTTGGGATGGGCTAATGAATCGTTAGCACTTAGGGGGAAGGGAAAACATGCTTTAAATTTGTTCCATTGTAAATGAAAAAAAAAGCTCATTTAATTTTTTGCACTTCCTTTTATTTTAAAAAAGGATAATGGTCTCTAAATCTGTGAAGTAAAATATCCATCTTTTCTTTTGATTGTTTCTGATACATTCAATTGGAATTAAGAGATTTGTTAACTTTATTTATTACACAAACTAAAACAACAGGACTTCAGAGATCAATTGAGGGAAATGGGAAGAGAGCAGAACTATTCCTCTACACATAAATGATGATCTGTAGTCCATGGTTAATGTCCATAAGGTCTTAATGACCAATATGGTGACACATTCACCTGTACTTTGAAAAGTTTTTTTTTTACATTTTACACTTAAAAAATTAGGATGAAAAAATAATGAGCACATGTTCAAAATTGGAAGAGTGTATACACTAATTACAAATCTTAGAAAGAATTACAATGTTTAGTATTTGTTTGATGGTCTTCACATCAGCTAATCAGATTGCTTCTAGCATTTCTTGCTCATCTCGCCATTTTAATGGCAGCTTCCACTGATAGTGTGCGGTGTTATGTCATCTTATATCAATTTTTTTTTCCCCAGTTTTTCATGTTGAATTTCATTCTAATGTTTGTCAGGACTTATTTGGGTTTCAAATGTCATAAAATTTAACAAAATTCAGCCAGTAAGACATCAACTTTAAGGGTAAAAAAAAATTCATGGATATCTCATTTGCATTAATGTTGCGATTTCAGCCTGATTCATAAAGATCATATTAGTTCATTCAATACCCTAAAAAAATATTTATAGTTTTTTTATTTCTAAAAGTAATTAGCGTTTTTTTAAAAAATATTTATTTGCAAAGTAAGTGCAGGGCTTGTGAAAAGGGCTCTCTCTCTCTTCTTGACACAGACAGTACAAAAAGGTTGCATCTCAAGAGGGTTAAAGTTAATGAAAACTATAAGTCATGTCAAGTTACCTTTTTGGCCAAAATGATTAGGAGAGTTCTGAAGATCTGAATGGCATCAATGAACAAATCAACTGAGTGCCTGATCAAAATACAAAGGGTAAGTAAGTAAACCCACTGTTCAAGAAAGTGAAAGTTCTATAAACATGAATCTTCTAAAATATACCCTAGTCAATTAAAATTGTTGAATCCCAAATGTAGGGATTCAGAATATCACAGAGGACTCAAGAACAATTCTGTGTGAAACTTACAGATTCACTGTTTTCAAACATTAAGTTCATTGTTTTCATTGACACCTTAATAACATCATTGCAATAAATATCTGGATTAAAAATTTCCTGATTAAAACATCAAATTTCTACAAGCACATTAAACAGAATAGATATTTTTGAATTGCCAACAAGTAATCTTTTGATTTAAGAGTTCCTCAAAATGAACTTCAAATAATTAATCATCATTGGTAGTGGGCTAAACAGCAGTGAGGATGACCTCGCTTCTGATAATATTGGAATTCTAATTTTTTTTTTAAAACAATAAATACAATGATAACTTACCAGATGTAATCCTGATCACCCTTACGTCTCTTCTCCACAATCAGTTGGGTGTCAAACAAGACAAAAGCAGAAAACAGAAATAGGGCGCCATAGATGTATACCTGAGGATTTACAATACGATCACAAAGATAAAGCAAAGTAACAAATGGAATGAATAAAATATACATTTCCATAAATAGATCATGTTGTGTTTTCTACCAGGCACTGAGTGGGAACTTCTATTCACATTCATTTTCAAATAAAAACAAAAAGGTGGAAAATCTTTTACATTTTCCTGGAATGCGATGGTAGGAGTGAAAAAAAGCTTCAACACTGGTAACTTAAAAGCTTATTTTATGTAAAATTTTAGTGTAGATCTTTATCCCTCCATCTCCAGCTTTCTTTCAAGTACTTATTTCTTTTCATGTTAAACAAAATGACTGTATACTCTTTTTAAAAAAAGTGATGTTATAACTAATTACATTGAAAAAGGCTTCGGATCTAAAGAATACATTGATGAGACCCCCAAGAGTCAGCAACGTCAGACTTGACATAAGAAAACCTGGAGAATAGAATAAATGAACAGGAATTGGTCTTAGCTTTATATGTTGGGATCTTTGTTTTTTTTTTTTTTTGTTTTTTTACTATAGATAGATATAAAAATGCACTGCAAATTTAAAAGATACAAGTCCAAAAAAAGTATTTTTTAAAAATATTTTCACAATTATAATAAACAAAAAAAAATGTATAAAATTCTGTTTTTTAATTGACATAAGAAAACCTGGAGAATAGAATAAATGAACAGGAATTGGTCTTAGCTTTATATGTTGGGATCTTTGTTTTTTTTTTTTTTGTTTTTTTACTATAGATAGATATAAAAATGCACTGCAAATTTAAAAGATACAAGTCCAAAAAAAGTATTTTTTAAAAATATTTTCACAATTATAATAATCAAAATAAAATGTATACAATTCTGTTTTTTAAGTTGTACCCATTTCTTTCATATGGTGTGTATGGTGTGTATATGAGACTTAAATCGTTTAAATACAGAGTCTTTGTGTAAAAATCATATGTTTAAAATAATTTACCACTATTCTGCCATGATTTAATAAACTTAAGAACTAGCCTTTCATTACGTACCACCCATGTAGAGAAAGACTCTGTCTTTCCACAAAAGTGAAGCCATGGTGAAGCAGATGAAAATGACAGCTGTGCCAGCCAGCGCAGTTGATACGATGCTAAGTTGAAGACAAAAAATGGAGGGAAGACATGGTTAATGTTAATTTCAAATCTCTATTCAGATTCCAAAAGTCTTCATTTCCTCTATTACCATGCACCTTTAATTAGTGATGTTTTGCCATGAAGTGAATAATTAAAAATTGTTTTGCCATGAAGTGAATAATTAAAAATTGTTTTGCCATGAAGTGAATAATAAAAAATTGTTTCCCCATGAAGCTAATGATTAAAAATTGCAAATTTCAGTGAATATTACCTTTCATCAATGTTCATGACAATATCAATGAGAGGCCCAAGAGAGATACCTGAAAATAAAAAGTGTCCAGTTTAGTAGCTTAAGAATATGGACGACATCCCCATTCCCTTTTCAGCAAAAAGGACCATAATAAAAATGTATAAAACAGGAATCATTCCTAAAAATAATATTAATTAAACTTAAATCTGAGGTTTCAAAACAAAAAAAAAGACACAAAAAAAAAAAAAGTTTAAATCTGTACTAGAAAAATGAATTAGTTTGGTAGGTAATTTTGTTTCTATTGTTTTTCAACATACACATTTTCATAATTACTTTTAGGGGAAAATTTTTTTTAAAAGATACTTTTAATTTAATTCCCACATAAAATATATGACAAGGCAGCCATAAAATGTAACAGAGTATTTTTTAGATGTGAATATTTTTAATGCATGTGGTTCTGGTTGTGGACAAACCTGAGGTAAATGTAAAGCCTGCAAAGATCCCCATTCTTGTGCCTTCACTTTCTTTAGTGTAACGAGTAGATCCCAGCCAGATCATAAGGCCAATCGACGCAAGGGTAGTAAGAATGAACCACTATAGGAATTCACATTTTAAAACTTGTGTAAACAAATTTTGTACAAGACCATAAGAACTTTAAAATATTTAAGATTATTTAAAATATATATGTTGTAAATAAACAGATCTTTTCATAGATCGGTAGCAAAGGGACCTTTGTTTATTGGCTTAGTTAAAGATACAAAAATAAGTTTTACCTCTCCTATGCCTGTGAGTGTGTGAGCATAAGCCCCAAGAGCTGCACTGAGCATACCCACAGAGAGGGAAGCATACACCTTCTTGAGATGTTGCTGCACATTACTCTCCCTGAATTTTAGTCAAAGTACATGGTCATTGGATTACAATAGTAGCTTCAAACGTACTGAAAATAGCTGCTCCTCACAATCAACACATTTTAAAACAAATTGGACATTTACCAAAAAAGCATGATATTAAAAAAATAATAATAATAATAATTATAATTAAAAAAATGATTACAGTGGGACCTTTGAATCCGAACTTAATCTGTTCCAGAACCACATTTTCAGTTCCTAATTGTTCGAGTTCCAAGACAATTTTTTCCATTTGAAATACTAGAAAGTGTATTAATCCATTCCTGGGTCCTACAAACTGTATGGATCCAAGTACTTTTCTTATTTACTTTTGAGCACTAACATCAGCCTTGTCTTTCTCTACATCATTGTGGAAGACCTTGGCTTTCTCATAAATAATCGTCTCAGAAATCCCATCACCAGCCACCTGTTTTTCATTAGTTCAATCTCTTTTTCCATCTCTTCCATTCTTTTCAATCCCCTAGAGGTCAGTGTCATATCCCCTTTCACAGCATCAGTTGCTTTGATAGCTTCTTTATTTTTCAAAATCTTACAGGTGGTTGATTTAGGCATCCTGAACATTGTAGCAAGATCAGCCTCGTGTGTTGAAATCTTTCTTAACTTCAATTGTTTCTCTAACAGCTGTCCTGTTACTCTTATTTTCCTCACTGAACTCTGTGGGACCCTTGGCTAGTACCAGTAAACCAAGTTGTTATGAATACACTATGTTGTTATGAGTTTACAAAATAAAACAGGTACAAAAGCTAAAAATTCAACAAACTCACATTTTTACAGTGTGTAACTATAGCCGCAAACATCTTTTAGTTGAGGGTTAGGTTAAGGGTTAGGTTTAGGCATATGTTTTAGGTTTAGGGTTAAGTTTAAGGATAGGGTTAGGTTACAGACCTGTTCACTCTTACGATTTTGGCGTACAATGTATGATTTTGAGTTGTATACATTATATATACTTTTATATGTTTATTCTTTACTATTAAGATAATGTATTGAACAATTTTTTTACACTGCCGCCATTTTGGTTGCATAAACCCTCACACGAGTTGTGGCAACCAAGATGGCGGCTGTTTGAAATGTCATGACACAGATAATCCAAATTTTCAAAAAATACTATTAATTTGACTTTTTTCCATACACCAAATTTCTTCTGATAAAATTGCTTATTTTCTTATCTTTCAGTAAGTAGCAGAAATAACACATTCCCTCCCTATGCTCTCTCCCTTTTTTACCAGACATGTTTTTGCACTTCTTTTTTTTTTTCTAACAGCCAACATCTTGGTTGCCATGACCCATGACATTTCCCGGGTCGTGGCAACCAAGATGGCAGCCATTGGAAAAAACATGGCGCGGATAGTATGAATTTATTTAAAAGTCATTTTAAATTATCATTAAAACACACAATTTATAGAGTGTGTGTGTCGCAATAAGCGGAATTTGGCCTTAGAATGTGGAGATTCAGCCCATGGTAAAAAAAATGACAAATGAAATCGTACTTTGACAATGCACTGCTCAAAAACTACAAAACTCCTAAAGATAGAAAGTTGATTTTTGTTTAATTTTTAATTTCAACTCTTTCTCTCCGGACCAACGCTCCCATCGTCAATTTTAAATGAAGGTTTCTGTCGATCGGCGATGGGATCGTCAATGCATATAAAAACCTGTTTGTTTCGTTTCTTTTCTTAGCTATTGATTTTAAATTACTTTTATTCAAATCTAGATAAACATCCGGAATTTCTTTCGTACGAAGAGGTTTTGCAGAGAATGAAGTGTTTGAAGCGGCTGTTTAGATTATCTATTTTATTTTTGTTTATGAACATGAAATCTTGACTTTGCCCATCTGTTGATTGATTTAATAAATATTGAAAATATTACACTGATGAAAATTCAGGCAGTGATTTATGATTTCGGATCCAGAGGCTGATTCTTACGAATCCTAGAAGTATAGTACTCATGGCTAAAGTAATAATGACATTGATAATTCATCAGCAGATGAACAACCAGCCCCTCCCCAGCTTAAGTGCCCTTTAGATGAGCTAATACTGTTCCTACTATAAATAATGTAAATTCTAATAGCAAATCTACAAATCTTGACACTAAAACTTAGTGCAATTTCAGAATTTTACCTTTGAAAAATGTAAGTGTAAATTTGAAGCTTGTGACTAGTGAGTCAAATGAACTTGAATGTTTTTCTAATTTGCTAGACACACATATTATTCACAAGCTTGTACTCTCAATAAACGAGTATGCTTCCTACATAATTAAAATCAACATTTCAATAAGCAAGATATCTGTTTTTAGAGACTGAAAACCTCTCAATATTTACGAGACCTACAAATTTCTAGCAGTAACAATGATGGGGATGAACTCTCGTCCATTTGTTGTTGACCTTTGGTCAATGAGATGTATACGCCCTGGTATGTCAAAATGTTTCAGAGAAAACGATTCGAAGCCTTGTATCACTTTTCTCTACATGCTACAAGAAATAAATGTAAAATTTAGCCTTTTATAAACTCACAAGGCCAGAAGATCAAAGAAAATCTAGAAGAAAAAACTAAGAAATTTCAAACTACAACTTGCAGACAGATAAACAGAATATGCTGCGACCATTATTCCAGAGGGGAAAAAATTTGGAAGTTCCAGACCAGGCTGTGACATCCCAGTGCCACCGAGAGACTTATCGGAGCAAAATTATCGGAGCAAAACGTATGTCTATAAACTCCAAAAAGGATGACAGAGTGTGCAAACACTGTAGAGCAAGGTGAACAGTATACGCCTGTGCTGGATGTGAGTCCAATCCGCACATCCATATGGATTGTTTTCAGGCTTACCATAGCTAAACCCAGATGAAAGGATATGACAAATTTATGACCACGTTCCATATGTTAATACACACAAGGTTAGAATTCAAATATTTTCTAATAGCAACTAATTGTTTCCAGTGAAAATAGTTTTTTGTGACAATGGATAATGTGCTCTGGTGTTTCATTTTTTTTCTTTCTTAATGTGATCTTTATTCTTTGTGATACACATATGGATATAGTTTAGAAAAAAAACACTTTTGATACACTTCAGATTGTAAATTTCTCTTTGTGTGACTTGGAATGAGCGATTTGCGAACATATGGTGATTTTTTTATTTAAAATTTTTATTTTCTGTATATCATTGCATTTGTATATTGAAATTTATACAATGAAATTTAAACCTAAGTCTGTATTGTCTGTAAAGAGCATGCATTCCCCTTTAATTCCAAACCAAATTTAACATTTTCTAATGAAAAACAAAAAATGTATGATGGTTTAGAGTTAACATAGTAGTGCATAACAAATTATATGCAAAATAGATAATTCCATCAATAATAATGAGGAAATTAATTCCGGAGACAAAGAGTTAAGTTTGCTCTATAATACTGAACTATTTAAATAAACTTTAAATTTCTTACTTTAGTACCTAGTTGGATAGAAACATTTTTGGAATGCAAAAAAATAGAAATAAAATTTATTATATTATAATAATTTAAATAATGAAGTAAGCCTAACTAAAGTTTACATTTTGACTTTCAGCATTTCTCACTCGCACATTCAAGGCTGACCTTCACTTTAATTTTTTTTTTTTTTTTAATCGCCTCTATAACAAGCTTAGGTATTATTTCAAATAAAATGTCCATTCTAACTCTAACAACAACATTCCTTCTTTGTACAACTTGGTCTGGTTATGTATTATTTTCCAGTAAAAAAAAATATATAGTATAGGCAAAGACTTAATAAACTTAATTCACTGATGAGAAAAATGTAGTAAGTAATTAGCAACAAGGACGTCTAGGACTATGACTTGGCCTAAAATCTAAACCTTACTTACTACTTAATAAAACCACTATTCACTATGACTATGATTACAATAAATTAAAATATTAAAACTGCAACTATGACTATAATTATATAAAAATATTTGGAGTATTGAGTATAGTTGAGTATAGTGTTTGAACTTAGTTTGTAGTCTAAAGATATGCATATTGATAAGTTAATTGGTAGAGGAAAGCAACTTCAAGGTTCAAAGCTCAACGATTTTTCACATCAAATGTTCAGTCGCAACATACAAAATAAACACAAAAACAGGCTTTTGCCAGTTTTGGGGGTTATTTTTTTTTAGCTGGAAGAACTAGACTAGACAAGGCCTTGACCAACTACACTGTATTAGAATACAAACACTAGTAATATCGTTCAGTCATTCATTTACATATATTGACAGCATGAACAGAATTTAAAAAACACATTCCATCAATAATTAAAGTACTTACAGATGATCAAAGTTAAAGAGAGCAGAAGAAAACATTGTTGTTTGGCTTGTTCTAGCCGCCATTTTAGAAAGTTAGCTTATTTTTCTTCTGACGTCATTTATGTTGCAGAAGTCACTTCCCCTTATCGGAAACAGTCGTGGCATTACCATGAGAACTTTCCAGACTTCTGAAATTTACATTCCAATTATAATCTGCGTGTTAAATTTTTAACGCCTTTCGCTTTTCTTCTTTCTGTCTTTTAAAGTGGGGGAATGACACGAGCTGGGAGATAATAAGTCCATGACATGTTATCTATTAAGGTCAAAAAAATAACTGCATTTTTATTAGAAAGTTAGTGAAATAAAGGACTGGGCGTCAACTTATATTGATACTCGAGTTGTTGTTGTTTTTTTTTCTTAATTAAAATGAAAATTAGTCATGATGTTTCGTGGCTTACCGGGAAGTATATGCTTTTGTTTATAAATCGCGTCACCCTCAAACAACATTCAGTGGTGTAACAATGAGTGCCGCCCGGGTGGGGCGCAAGCCTTTTGCAGCAAAATTGTCAGCAACATTTTTTGGTGTGCAGGCGTTTTTTTTTCTTGCTTGCACTAACTTGAAATAAATTTGGTCATATATTTATATATATTCTGGAACGAAATGTTCTTGTGCAGTAACTGCAGACAATGGTGTAGCTAAGGGGGTGCGGACCGTATCGGGTGACACCATCTCAAAGGGGTGACACGGTTAAACTAGTACCACAATGCAAGGCCCATTGCTTTCATTGTATTCCTTTACTGTGTGAGATTTTCGGGAAGATCAGAGGCAGATTCTTTTAAATCACATTCACACACACTAACAATTGTCAACCCAAGCCAGAATCAAATATTAATTCTTTTGTCAGACTTTTGTACGAGAGCTTAATCTCTACGCAATTTCTTACAACAATTTATTGTTATCCAATCCATAATACGGTATTCATATTTATTGGCTTCATGCTTAACAATGCAACTAATTATGGTTAACACATAGAATTAAATGAGTGATTATAATGTTATGTATAGGCCTAAATAATACAAATAAGGCACACATATTATGTAATCCCGAGTGAGAATTGAACCACGATCGAAATGAGCCGTATATTATTTCCATACTGATATTTAATCTATAAGAAACTTTAATAATGGTTTAAAATAAAATTACGAAAAATATATGTGATTCTTTCTTTACTATTTTCTGTGATTTTTTTTTATTGTAACTTTTTCCGTGACTTTTCTCTTGTGACTTTTGTTTTCCGCTCACCGTGCATTGATGTCATTATCTTTTTAGTGACTAAGCGTATCCATATCAAGTCATGTGTATTAAATTAGTATTAATAACACGTTAATTAAAAGTGCGAATTTATTATATTTCAAATTCACAGGGGAAGTTACTTTAATTATTTATTATTGGGTTATGTACTTGATTAGGAAAATGGAAATATAACTTTTGTTGCAATAAATCTAAAGTTACGTATTTAAATACTCATATTTTTATTTAAAAATCAGAAATAAGATGATACATTTTTTTTAATATTTTGTTTTTAAAATGATTATTTCTAATCCTAGCCTCATCGCAGACTTGCCTTTTACGCCGATAACCGACTGCAACCCATTCAAATATGTAATGAATTTACAATTATACTTTAAAATTACATTGTGCGCATTTGTATGTGCTCGCTATTGCCAACGTTCGCAATTGTCAGTGTTCGCGATTTTTCCGTGTACGCTTTTGTCGGTGTACGCAATTTTATGAGTGCGCAACTGTCGGTGTGCGCAGTTTTCGTGTGCGCATTGTTGTCTTTGCGGAGTTTCTGTGCGCGATTATAGTGTGCGCGTTTGTCATGTGCGCGTTTTTTACGGAACCAATCCATATATTACGTACTTAAACAGAAGTCAAATTCCCCACCCCTTTGACGCGTACTTTTTGTACCAACACCCCCCCCCCCCTTTTTTTTTTTCTTTCCGCATATGTACAAATAAGCTTTCACCCCCAGCAAAGAAGCAAAATACAAATGTATTTATATATAATTATGACGTCATAATAAACTGTGTTGAAATGTGTCATTGGTTTGCTCCACTGTCTGTTTAAAGTAGAGCAGTTTTCCATAAATATGCGCGGCGTTACCCTCTTTAATCAAGGCTTCCTAAAGGGGGGCTTCGCGAAATATTACACTATTTTCATAATTTTCTGTTAAATTCGGAAAAGGCGTTGAATATCGAAATTTCTAGGAGCCACTGGCATAACGGAACAAAATAATTAACTCACACCGTACGGAAACATATAAAGACGTACGATGGACTAAATATTACTGTTATTTGTTCGATATCTCGTAGGTTCCCTTTAAAAAAATAAAACAAAATAGAAGGGAAAAAAAGCAAAACAAAAAATCTCAAACACTAGTATCATAATAATTGCGTAACATTGCGTCGATATTTTTTTAATAGAATTTGAAAATTATTAGAAAGAGATTTCACAGCAACTCCGCACCATGATTATGTTTAATTTGAGAAAAACACAGTGCACATTTGGACATGGCGTCGCGAAGTGGCGAATCGCTGGATTTACCCACATGGTTCAAAGGAAGCGCTGTAGGTCCGAGACACATTTTTTGCAGGAGAAATACAAACAGCATTAATATGTTTCGATTCCGCGTACAAAGTAATACTGGTAACCATAGCAAGGTTAGAGCAGGATGTTTTTTTTTTTTCAAAATTGTGGTTGATTAAAACTTACTTGAGATCACCAGTGTCTCAGGTTTGAATGAACTGACTTGGCGATATATGAACGAGGCATTGTAACCATCCTGATCTATGAAGAACTCATCCATGTCTTTACCCACAAGAAAGCTAGGAAGGGGAAGGTGATTATTTTCCCTTATAGTCATTGCGCTTATTTTACTTGTCTGCTTATATATATATACATATATATATATATATATTTGACTGTAGCATCCCAATCTCTATAAAAAACTATTATGTCATTTCATTTTTGAGATTGTGAATCTAACTGAAGACTCGCCGAATCCCAACACAAGTTTATCTCTCTAACGGTCCCAGAGCTACATATATCACGACCCGCAGTTCTTTGTTCATCAACCGCAATCTATTTTGGTTTCATTAACGCTAACACGATAAGAACTTTAAAAAAAAAATTATTATTAGCCAGACTACCACCTGAAAAATTAATTTAATTTTTGCATTGTTTTTACATTATGACGTCTCTTTGAGAGTACATTATCTTCATTCAGCTTTGTGTTTTTAGGAATTGCTCTTTGACAACCCTGAGAGTGAATAACTATGACGTATCCCATTAAGTATTAATGACAGTAAGACTTAATAGGCCATATGACAAGCGCGTGTCTTCAATCATTTCGTTCACTATAATATAACGTCAACGACGCCGCAAATTCAATTTGCCCCAAGGCATTGCACCCTCCTAGCGCCGGATCTGGCGAAGGACCAGAGTCGACGGTGTAGTGACAATCACAGACGTGATAAATTATCTCGAAAAGTAAAAAGTGGGAGACGTCTGGAAATTAGGGGTAGGCTTCTTGAAGTTGGAAGAAACGAAAAATATATTTAAGGGGACATGAACTTGGTAGGCTAAATTTTCTCGTAAAAATGTTTTGACACAGATGTTATTATTAGATGGGGATGTCCATGGGATGATAGGCTAATCTTTTTGAAGTTTGTTAACGAAAATGTTGCAATCACGACAGAAGTGGACAGGGTGAATTTCACTACAGAACTGCAGGCCCTTTTGATTAGCCCAAAGCTAGGCAAACTTTTTTTTTTCATGCGCATGCCCTTCCAACCATTTTGTGGCACACCACAAAAAACATCCATTAAAAATAGACTAAACAACATAAAATAGTTATTATTCATAATACAGTGGTACCTCGAGATACGAATTTAATTCGGTCCGCAACCTTGCTCGTACGTCAATTTGCTCGTATCTCAAAGCGTTTTTCCCCATTGAAATTAATTGAAATGCCATTAATCCGCTCCAGTCCCCAAAATGCCACCCTAGTTGTTTTTGTTACGTGTTTTTGAATAAGAAAAATGTATTTATAAATGACAAATATTGCTGCTTCTCCGTCACCCACACCATCAGCAGTTTCTTCATCTTTTCATGGAGAGAGGTCCAGAGCTTAGAAATTATTGTAACGCCCTGAGCTGGCGTTATACCCTTTATCGACTCTTTCTGATTAAGCACAATAGATATCTTTGAAGTACTGCGCCCGTACAGCCTCGCCAAGTCAGGCACTCGCACACCTTCCTCGTGTTTTTTCTATGATTTCGCGCTTTAATTCAATAGACATCATCTTTTCTGAGCACTAACATTTCCACCCACTTTCTTCGGACCCATGGTTATAAAAAGAAATGTGATTAAGTACTGTAAATGGACAAAAAGCACAATACGCGAGCACACCTTATCAAAGATGCTTCGACAGCGAGGCAAACAAGCACACTGACTGGGGCACTGGATAATGTGAGACGCACGAGACACGACTGGTGTGTCGTGTGCGGCCGGTAGACCCGCTGATCCAGTTCCTCGTATCTCAAATATTTCTCGTATTTTAAAGCAAAACACCGCTCGCTCGACGGCTCGTATCTAAAAAATTTCGCATTTTAGGGCCCTCGTATGTCGAGGTACCAGTGTATGTGATATAAAATACATTGTATTTCTGTATATTAACTGTCTGTTTTGAAAACATTTCTGTTACCGGTACTGCAGAGTTTGACAGTTTGGTAAAAGGCTAACATGTGCCTTTTGTATCAAAAGGATTTAGACTAGAGACCGATCAATTTTCGGCTTCGGCGCCGAAAGTGGCCATTTGATCACTTTTGGCCTAATTTCGGTTTTGGCCGAAACCGAAAAGTTAAATTTTGGTTTAATTTCGACATCGACCGAAACTGAAACGTTAACTTTTGGTTTAATTTCGGTTAGGGCCGAAAATGATTGAGACTGGCTGAAAATGACTGGGGTTTTTGGCTGGCAATCCGATATTCATTATTGCTCGACGTCTTGCTGTCATCGTATGTCATATGACTAATACTCTGCGAAAACTGCTCACAGCTGCATAATGGCCTACTTTTCCTTTATTTCCAAAAAATAAATTTCAATTATGCCTACACAAATGTAAACAGTTTTGTGGAAGAAAAGCTAATGTAATGGTAATATTTTTATATCATTATTTTTGTTTTAATTTTTTCAAAAATATTGATAATTTCCCCATCATTTTTTGATGTATGCAAAATTTATGCGTGGACGAATTTCAAAATACCTAAATATTTCAGTTTCGGCTTCGGTTTCAGTCGAAAGTCTCGTTAAGCTTTTTGTTTTGGTTTCGGCCGAAATCAGATAATCTTTTTCGGTCAGTCTCTAATTTAGGCTATTTACGAGCCTACATATGATATGTTTTTTATCGTCTAGGGGGGCATTTTGAGTTGCACCCCTGCCATCATCTTGTGGCACACCATGATGCTGTGGCACATCGATTGTGGAGCTCTGGAATAGGCTATAGATATAAAAGCAGACGCACATTTCAATTTACAATCTGAAAATCACCCAGTCGTTATTATTTATGAAATTTAAAAAAGAAAGTTTTTTTTTTTTAAATTAGAAGACGATTGGAGCAGCAATTATCTTTTTTTTTAAAATTGAAATAGGACGAAGTAATCAGATTGCAGCTCATCATTAGATAAATATGCTACTACAAAAGTTATATGTCTGATTTGGGGCCAGGGGACAGAGGTCTGTGACGTAATATTTTATTGGTGGGGTCTAACTTTGGACGATGGGTGAGGGTGGGGTAGAAAAATCATCCAAAATGGTGCAGAATATTTAGACATAGTAACAAGAGGATGCCTCGTCTGCAAATGGATTATACGGATCTATAATGAATAGAACCGGAAACTGTTTCATTACTTCCTGTGACTTATCCGTTTGTTTTCGCAAAATTTTTTTTTTACCTCAAACTTACTCACTTACTCATTATCCTCGACTAGATAATTATTTTTGAGAAGTTATTTTTTGTAAAAAATAACATAATAAAGGTATTTATTATAATAAGTTAATATTTTCTCTTTAACTTAGTTGAGGCATAATTATACTTAAATAATAATAATAATGTAAGAGTTCAAATTCAAGTCTAATGGTTAGGCCTAAGGCTAAGGCCTAAGGCTAAGGCCAAGGCTAAGGCCTAGGCTAAGGCTAAGGCAAGGCTAGGCCTCTTATAACTACTTTCTACTAGTAGTACTAGGCCTAGGGTGTTTTTTTTTACACCGGCTCCGGGTAATTAAAAAAAATTCCCGGTGGGTCCAAGTGTTGACCAAAAAAAAAGTTAACTTCTATAAGACAGTCTATGCACTCCATCCATCGTCATTAGTAAATTTAGATAGGTACTTGGGTAAACCAGTTTTCTGCTAGTGTCAAATAATTACAGAGTTACGTGCCCCTTGTTCAACTTTTTGTCCACTTCAAAATGTAAACATTGCATATGCATTGGGAAAAAAAATGTGTTTTGTGGTTGTTTCTTTATTAAATAAGTAGTATGATATATCATTTTAAAGAGAATTGGAAGCTGAATAATACTGTGTCTTCAGATTTTTAATCACGTTGAAAAAAAAAAAAAAAAAAGTTGAATTAAGTAAAAAAAATATGTTTTGTGGTTGTTTCTTTATTAAATAAGAAGTATGATATATCATTTTAAAGAAAATTGGAAGCTGAATAATACTGTGTCTTCAGATTTTTAATCACGTTGAAAAAAAAAAAAAAAAAAAGTTGAATTAAGCTAAGTCTACTACTTAATTTCTCGTAGAGACTCCACCAGACGCGATTTTCATGATAACCACTGTTTAGAGCATCCAATTATCTACTAGAATGGGCAAATTAAAAGTCCCTCCAACCTACCCCAACAATTTTATTAAATTTTCAAAACAGTCACCACATGGGTGTTTCTTCCCTGGATATCATTTTCAAGAAGGCCGAATCCACCTCAGCAAATCATTTTTAAATCTTAAACTTAAGCAATCTGATTAATAAACAATGTTAAAAGCATTATTTTAAGTTATTTGAGATTAATATTATTAACAATGAATACATATGAATAGATATTTAATTGTATTTCTTTATTTAAATAGTGAAACTTCCACTCCCACATAATAGGTCTATTAGGGAGTTTGGCCTTAACTACCTGACACATTTGTAGCATGGAAATATTAAGAAAAATATATTTTATCTTCATAATAGATTTAAAATTAAGATTTCTTTAGTATTTAGATGAATTGATACTTTGAAATGCTTCACACACACAAAAATACTTTGTTTTATCTTTTTAAAGGCCAATCAAATGACATCATTAATAATTAAATGTTAATCATATTGGCAATTTGTAGGCCTTAGTTGAAGCATCACAATTTTTTTTAAATTGTAAGGATTCTATGAAAAACTAATGCTACACTTAGCAAAAAGAAAATAGAATTGAAAGATATCCCCCATGCAATAAAAACTCCTACTATAATCTACATATTGTACATATAATATCCGAAAATTGATTTGCTATCGGCGATATAGAATAAATTAAATTTTTTAATGGACACATTGGTTCACCCTTCCATATGCTACTTATTATTTTTCCCATTTTCAATACGAACAATTTGATATACATGACCCTATATTTTGAAGAATATTGTTCATGTTGTGTTCATATTCAAATATGACATATGGAAATTTTACGGCCATTTTGAATATTAATGAGCTCATCTTGTGTACCATAGAATTTATTGTATGACGTCTGTTTAGATAATGTTAAGACGATCATGGATATATATGGTTTGTTATGGTTATCTTCATTAAGTCATTAAATAACTTCAATTTACTGCTCTTTTTTAACATCTCTCCCAAATCTCTGCCCAATTTTTATTTTAGTCACTTTTACATGTTCCTATATGTCTCAATTAACAGAGTTATCCCAAAATAATTCACGAAAAAAATCATAACTTTCTTTAGAATTGACCTACAAACATAAATTTGGTATCAATGAATTGCATTTTTCATGCCTATCTAACCCACTAGCTCTTAAAGCCATATCTTCATTTTGAAAATTTTACCCAATTACCTAATTTAGATGTCTGCTGGCTGGAAAAGGAAGAAAAAACAATGCATGCAGCGGCATGCTCACAAAGTGACAAAATGAAACCACCACATTTAAAATTAAAATGTACCCTTTGACTCCAATACCCTAGATTAAGTGTTAAGTGTATCTTTGAGTCTGCCTTAAGTAAGGTGGTTCAACAAATCAAAGTTGAAACTATTCATTTGCACTTACACTTAAGTTTAAGTTTGGTAAGAACGGGTTTGTAACATACTCCATCTCATGAACATGGAAGGATGTCAATAAATATTATAAATAAACTAACTAGGGAAACGCAACCACGTTGTGTGAGTAAAATAATGTCCATTCCATGTTTGGAGTTACCGAATACAAAACTTACACCTCTGAGGCAGTATTCAGACTCCCCTGAGGCAGTATTCAGACTTCACTGAGGCAGTATTCAGGTTTCATAACAACTTTTGAAATTTTTTGTGTCTTTTTTTCACTAAATACTAAATGGAATTAAAGAAGCAAAGGTTCGTTGGCTTCACTTTGTCTAGGGGTCATTATATTAATTACACAAACCATTGATACTTAGAATAAAGTATCTTTATTAACCAAACTACATTGTCAACTGCCATAACTCGATCAAAACAAACTACATCACAAAAATATGTCATTTACCCTTACACACAATACGTCACAAAATAACAAACGTAATAGTTAAAGCAACACATATACTCTCTACCCAACATGCAATCACAACATACATTCAAGTCCTTAACAGAGTAGATTATTGACACTTTCTTGAATGGCTTATGAGGTTGATTCCGAAATGGCAGTCTCAGCTGCACTCCCCACAGGAGAACTTTGAGTTATGGTTTACTTAGGCCTTCTTTTATGCCCCTTTTGTTGCCCTTTTGTTGCAAGGGCTTCATTTTGTGCATCTTCTGCTTGATTTCCATATATCTTGCTGTGTGCCCGCCAGAACAGCTTCCCTCATGTTTCTTTTGCATATGTCCTGAAAAGTGCAGGTCTTGCCCCCTCTGCCGATCAATAGGCCTTGAAATACAGCCTTCCTCCACTCTCCTTTCATGGCCTAACCAGCAAAGGTTGGAGAACATGCTTAACTTTTGGCACATACCAGGACCCAGTGTTATGCACTTGGTCCTGCCATCGAATGTGCAGAATGCATTGCAGACAACTTTGGTAGATGCTGTTGAGTTTCTGCACTCATCACTGGCCTATTTTGTCCACACTTCACTGCCATATAGGAGTATACCGAAAAAACATGCTTGATAGACACTTATTTTTGTGGTTTTGGTGAGTTTAGACTTGTTCCACACCTTCTTATTCAATTTGCTGCTGCTTTTGGGATCCTGATGTTCACCTCTTCATCAATGGCGAGTGAGCTAGAGATATTAGACGCAAGGTATTTGAAGATTTTAACTACTGTGCATCAATGTTCCCTCTAAGGTTTGCTGGTTTTTGTGCAAAATCATACAGTTGTGTGCAAAGTTTTACAGAATCAATTTTTTGTGTGCAAAATTTTACAGCCCACAAACACACACACACAGAAATTACATAAATGAACTTAAGTGCAAAAACTTTTATATAAATAAATAAATAAACTATAACTAAATAATTATAATAAGAAATGTCACAAATAGTTCAATCAAAGCTATATTTATTTCTATTATTATTTATCCCGTCATTGGGTCAAGCAACTAAATTCCAACACACCCACTACCAATGGCCACTAGTCATTTGATTGATTCAATTCTGGAGATACTCTAGCTTCTGTCTTTCAACGATATCCATCTTTTATACACATCGTCAAGGTTGATCTGATGTCCATCATTCTGATACAATTTAATCCTCATATGCATGTCTAAATGTCATTCTTCCAGCCTATTTCTAGACTTTATTTTTATTTTATTCATTAGGCTGAATCCACGTTCATAATGGGCACTTCATGCAAGAAATGTAGCACAAATATCCAACAGAAGGGCAATGTTGCAGAACTGCTCATCATTTACAAATCGAACCATCTCGTCGAAAGTCTGCATCAACCCATATTTCATTTTTTCTGCAAGCACAAACCTTAAGCTACGATACTGATCCTCAGCTTTCTGCAGAATGTCGTCATAGTTTTCCAGGAATGCTGGATATCTAGAAACCAGTGCTGAAGTGTTGATTAACGCTGATATCTCAAAGATTCGCCGTTGCATCAACTCACTTATTAGCAAGCAATTCAGCAACCTCTTTGGGCCATTGCACATTTTCACCATGGTACTGGGCAGAGAGCTTAGCGATCCTTGCTTTTACAAACTGGTATGCCTCGATGGTCAAAAGATTTTTTCTTTGTAGCAGCTTGCATAATTCAGCAAGTTCACCACTAACTTCATCAAAAACAATCAGTGCAGTTTGAAACTGCGGATCCCTTAGTTTTTTCAAATAGCCAATAGGACATTGTCAATGGAGATTTTCACCTGGTCATTTTTAGTACTTTTACGTTGTGCCACTTCTTGTTTCATGCCTTGATCAGCTACACTTTCTGTAAGCATTCGCAGTACACCTCCTGATTGTATAGAACAAAGTCTCTGTATAGCATCTATGTGTATTTTTGGTTGCTATGCCGTTTAAGATAATCCAGCTTCCATGCCTCCCACCCTTTCCCTGTGGAGAAATTACCACCTACATTAGCTTTGAAGCACATCTCACTGACAATATCATCAATTTCCCCATATTTAAAAATATCACCCAGCTTTACAGTCCGCTCTGATGAAAAATCTGGTAGTGCTGCATGCCCAAATTTAATCAGCCATTCCGTTTTAAAATTTGATCGACACTTTTTATTAGCAAGCGATTATGCTGACAGTTGACTTAACTGACGTTTTGACATAAGGGTTAAAACCTTATTAAAAATAATTAAAAACATGGATGTATATGTTATAAAAGCTGTATACGGTAAATCTGTTTTGAATTTTTAAAATAAAAATTTGCTGCGTGGATACTCAAAATTGCTGCGCGTCGTCTGTGAGATAGCTGCGTGGCCGCGCAGCTAAAGGGAACATTGTTTCCATCAATATTTATGTCTTGAGGGATTTTTTGTGCCATGGCATTTGTTTTCTTAGACTGATGGTCAGAATAAACTCCTTCCAGGCATGGTAGAGGCCATTAACTGAACGCTGCAGTTCCTCTTCCATGTGTCATGTTAGGGCGGCATCATCGGCAAACAGCATTTCAAAATTTAGCACTTTTATAATCTTGGTATTTGCATGAACGCAGGCTTGACAGCCTACCATCAAATGTAGTATGGATGCACACTTTCTTCAGTGTACCTGAAGGAGCATTGAGAAGAGTATGGTACATGTATGTAGCCTTGATTCCCTCTGCTGCTGATAGGGAATGCCTCAGAAACTAAGCTATTGAAGCTGACTGTGGTGTGCATGTTTTTGTGAAATGAATTTATAATTGCTCGGGGTTGTGGGGGTCATGCAATTTTATGCAAGACACTGAACAGACCACCCCTTCTTACCAAGTAGTAGTAGAATGCTTTGGTAAGATCTATGAAACCAATGTAAATTTATAATACACAATACCAGCATTATAATTTATGCTTTATTATAAATTATTATATAAAATTAATAAACTTATAATTGAAATATAACTATAGTATTGGTAGTATTTTATATTATTCATTAGGATTTAATTCTTAATTACCGGGTTAAGGTTAGGCAAACATAGTTCCTTTCCCCTTTTCCAGCGCACACATATAGTATTGTAACTGTGATGACAGAGTGGTGTTCCTTATCTTTTTTACAGCACACGCTTATAAATTGTAACTGTGATGACACAGTGATCATTTAAGTTATTTTTCTAGTCAGTCCCAGAACATGCCAATGACAGGGGAAAGAAGTTCTCAGCCCGTAGATCCTGCTGCAAAAGTGTGCAAAGAAATAGTTCGTTGTGTCAACTTTGCTGCCATCAAACATAAAGACCAGCGAAGGAAAGATGAAGCCCAATCACCCTATGTAAATCACGTGATTGGTGAGTAATGTTGCTGTGATAAGTATAGTTGGGGGATGAACTATTAGGCCTCAAAAGCTAGTGCAGTGTGACATGGGATAGTGTTAGCTACATTGTAGTTGCAGCAACGTTGAAATTGATCATAGTTAAGTGCTTTGACCGTCAATAACCTGTATTAACTGTTATCATTTCATGTCAACCATTCTTTTCTTAAATGAAGTGAAGCAATTGAAAAAAAAAAAATTTTTTGTTTGCATTTTCCAGGTGTTGCTTACATTCTCACAAGTGAAGCTGGGGTTTCAGATGTCTCTGTTATACAAGTCAGTCACTGCTTACATAAAATGTGTTTTTTTAATGTTTTAAGTTTTACACATGTTAGGTATCTCTACAGTTAACAGCATTTACCATAGTTTTTAAAATAGGGTTGTTTTTTTTCCCCGGTGTTATGGTGTATAAAAAGTATACTCTTACAATGTCAGCATTGCTTAATATTTTTTTAAATTCTGAGCAAAAATAGGATAGTTGATGAAAAAAGATCAGAAAAATAGTTTTACAGTAACCTCTAATGAAGTACCCGGTAGCCAAGATCGTGACTCTCTACTTTTTTAAAACTGTATTTTTACATAAACAAAGCTTAATTTAAAATGAAAAATTTATTTTTATTAATGTTTAGTTTTATTATATTTATAGTCACTTTGCAAATAATCATTGTATTTCTCTTCCCACTTTAAATTTGATGAACAATATTTTTAAACAATTTCTATGTCATTTTAAAAATGTAAACCATAACTCAGATAGAGATAATATTCATTTATTTATTTTACAAAAAAATTTGTTTCAATAGGCTGCATTACTCCATGACACAGTTGAGGACACAAATACAAGTTTTTATGAACTCCAGGCAGAGTTTGGGGAGGATATAGCAAGTATATAATGCTTGTGTGTTGTGGTCATGTTTAATTTTATCATCTTATTGCACCAAGAATTTCCCAGGGCTATTTCCCTTTATGCCAAGGTGGTTTTCTAGCATGTATAAGTATAAGAAATTAGATTATGTCTTTCAGAAATTACATCCTTTTATGATCTGATTTTAATATTTTAAATATTTTAAATATTTATTTATAAATTAGTGAACTTTTATTCAGTGTGTTATTTATTCCTGATCTATTAATGCTGAAATTTTCATCCTAATTTAACTAAAATAATATGGGGTCTACAAAATAGTAGATAATTAAGGTCACCAATATAATTATAAAATATAATAGATTAATATGGGGGACTACAAAATAGTAGTTTAAGGTCACCAATTTAACTATAATATAATGATTAGGGGGCAACAAGATAGTAGTTTAAGGTCACCAATGTAACTATGATTTAGAATATAATAATATGGGGGGGGGGGACAAAATAGTACAGTAGTTTAAGGTCACCAATTGAACTATAATATAGAATATAATGGGGGGGCTCTTCAAAATACTAGTTTAAGGTCACCCAATTTAAGAGATAATAGTGTTCAAAAATTCTTTATAGATATGAAACTGAAGGAGAACCTTATTTTTAAACTAAACACAGCTTTCAAAAATCATTGTTTCAAAAAACTTTTAAGATTTAAAATATCTAGCACATTGGTGATGAAAGGGTATGTATCACCTTCACCAAACCACAATGTTTGTACCGGTGCTCAACGTAGGTTTAGTTAGTTAGATCTTCTTTGTTGAAGTAGTGTTTGGTTTGGTACTTACTTTACTTTATTCCCAACTTTATTCTTAAAAGTTAATGCCACTTTAGATAACGTTAACTTGTGTCTGCAGATTTAGTCAAAGAACTTACAGATGATAAATCCCTGCCCGCAGAAGAGAGGAAAAAGTTACAGGTTATTCATGCACCCAAGTCAAGTTACAGAGCCAAACTTGTGAAACTTGCTGATAAGTTATATAATCTCCGTGACCTCCGCCGGTCTCCCCCGGTAGGGTGGTCCAAGGAAAGAATTCAGGAGTATTTTCAGTGGGCAGCTCAGGTTGTGTCCGGTTTGAGAGGGACGAACAAACAAATGGAGGAGAGTTTGTGTGATCTGTTCTCTGAGCGTGGAATTACTTTGTAATGGTGTTTATAAAAGTCCAAGCAATATGTTCACTGAGTCTTTTCTAAACAGCATGGATTTTTTCCTTAGATGACATTTTAAAAACATCAGAAGGTAGCAAAGAGAGTTAAGTGAGATTTGAATAAATTAGTCATATTAAAAAAAATCAACTTCGTATGTTGAATTTGTGACATCGGGTCACTGGAGAGAGATCTGGAGTTTTTTCATAAATACAGGATTTTAAAAAAAATTGTATTCGGATCATCAATTCTTTGTAGCCCTTTTGGCCCTAGAATATTAAACATTTTACAATTGTCAGCAACTAACTGGTTTTTCATAATTTTTTAATATTAATTTCTATTTCAACTAAAGTTTGACAAATTTCCAGTTTAATTATTAATTATTTATAAAAATCATATTTTGAACTTTTGCTGGAATAGACAAAAAATATGAGATCAGAATTATGCTACGCTGATTCACTCTGAAATTTTTAAGAGGAAGGAAAAAGAAATAAATTTGAATGCCTTAATGTTATATTTACCAGATGAATACAATATTTCCATTTAAAAATTTAAAAAAGTGATCTTTGTCAAAAGATTTTTTTTTTGCCACTTGTCCAAATCTGCCTTTGATGTTGGAGATGTTTTTACAACAAAATCCAACAGGCATTTTTATGAACGGAAATGTTGGTCAAGGTGTTGTTGGTTGTTTTTTTTTAAAAGCTTATTATTCAATAATTGAACAAATTTTCTGGTTTAAATAACTTTGCAGTCTTGTGCTAGTAAGTTATTGAACTATAAAAAACATGGGAGTGGAGCTTTTCAGCCTCAATATTCCTTCAAGCCTTGGATAAAGTTTTGGATTTAACTTACAAATCTAACTAACGTACAAGTGTTTTCATTCAGTTAATTTTAACATGATGGAAAGCATCGATAACAGACGTAATGAAGACCATGTATCTGAAGATATTATTTGTTATTTATTTGCTTTAAAAAAACAAAAAAACAACGATGTATTAAAAAATAAAATTACATTTTAATAGCACTATAAAAAAAATATAGCAAAAACAGCATTATATAATATGTATATATAAATATGTATACCATTTCTGAATATATACTGATATATGTGGTGATATGTTGAACAGGATCCTTTTTGACATGGGCTTTGCTATGTAGAATGACATTAAAAACTAAAATATTGAATGCTCGTAATCAAGCATGGTATTTCAGTTGTATATTTCTAATCTATCCCATTCAAACTGTTGAGCCAGATTTTTGTGTGATTTGTATTGTATATGGATAATATATGAGGGACGTGGGTTCTAGCCATATAAGGTAAAAAAATAGTGGAACAAGATATGTTTAGACTTGAAAATAGAAGAGATGATAATTAAGCGGACATTTCAGCCAGATGCCTTTTTCAGCAGACGAAACAAATACAATAAATAACAGATAAATTAAACTTTTTTAAGAATAAATAAAACTTGTTTTTTCAAATATCTCACAGTATAGTCATTGTTCCACTATTTATTTACTGTGTTGTTTTATAGTAGTTTACAATTGTTTAATATCAACAGCAGAGTTTTGTGCATAGTAGCTTCTAGCAAAATATTGTTTGTTTTACGATATGATCATAATTCTGTATGCTCTATGAAAATGTGTTATTTACCATGATGAAATTGTACAAATATCTTCATATTTTTTTTTTTAAGCAGGGGGGGGGGGGAAGACCAAATAAATTCTACTAACACCGTGAGGTGTTCCTGATAAATATTGATAAATAGCTGAAACTAATTTCTTATAAAATTTATTAAATTATTTCCCTTTCTGTTCACGTTTTGGTTTAAAATAACTTTTCACTCTCATTGGTATCACCGATCGTTTGTGTGTTTTTAATCATTCTGAAGTTTAAAGCTTATTGGTTAACATTCCGGAATTATATTTTTGACGGTCGACTCCAACATTATTTTGTGGGTTGTTGTTTTTTACCCCAGTGCTTCTGAAATGTAGGAGATATCAGGGTGGGCTTTCAGAAAAGATACAATATCTATACACAAGATTTTTAGTTGTTTCTATCTTTTACCCTAAAAATAATTTTCATTTATTGGCATGGTTCAGGGTAGGAAGTACCACTCTTGAGTCGGCTTTGAATGCTTAGCACAGCCTAATTTTACTTGTTACTCCTATCCCGACAACTTCAGACAATGTTGAGGCCTGTTGATTTGGGAACGGTTTGAGAAGCTTGTATGACTATGATAGAAACATTTTTTTTTTTTTTTTTTTTTTTTTTTTTTTTTTTTTTTTTTTTTTTTTTTTTTTTTTTTTTTTTTTTTTTTTTTTTTTTTTTTTTTTTTTTTTTTTTGAAATTATTTTGTTTTAAATTTTACGCTCCTACTCGTATGCTTTACACTTTGCTGTTTGTTTGTATACTATTTTACTTTCTATGAAAATTTAAATCTTTATTATACCTGTGATGAGGTTAATTACAATGACTGCCTTAGTTGTGGTGAGCATGCTTTCTTTAATGCTAAACTTTTTTTTTTTTTCTTATAAAGGACAGCATTAAATAGTGGCCATTTACTCCTTCTTGCCATAGATTGTGGGAATTAATTGTTAACACATTTTTTTTTTTTTTTTTTATTTTTTTTTTTTTTTTTTTTTTTTTTTTTTTTTTTTTTTTTTTTTTTTTAACATAAATTTGGCAGCAGTCATTTTTACAAACTTTTTATTTATTCATGAAAACAATCTTCTTTGGTGTCTAACGTGAACAATCTTCTTTCGTGTTTAACATAAACAATCTTAAACAGGAATAATGTTGTTTGGTGTTTAACATAAACAATCTTTTGTGGTGTTAAACAGGAACAATCTTGTTTGGGGTTTAACATGAACAATCTTGATAGTGTTAGCACACACTAACTGATAAATCATTCGGCTTTAAGTACCGTAAGTATCATTATTTTGTGGCCTTCAGTTATTGGAACATTGTTTTTATACAACTCTGCTTTGAAGCAGGACTTGGTCCCCCTAGCTCTCTCGTACCATACACAACACTGCTTTGAAGCAGGACTTGGTCCCCTAGCTCTCTAGTACCATACACAACACTGCTTTGAAGCAGGACTTTGTCCCCCTAGCTCTCTCTTACCATACACAACTCTGCTTTGAATTTGAAGCTATTGTTTGTTGTTGATCAGCCACACAGCAAAGTGGTTTCACATCATCCCATTCAGCTGATAAATCTTGGACGTGGCTTAATATTGTCCTCGTCCACTGCCCGGTTTATTGAGAGACATAGGAAACAGTCCAGTGTACACAGTAATAACAACTGGTCTCTGGGGCTACATTGACATTACATTGACATTACAGAGCAAAAACTCATTGAAGTTGTTCATCGCCATTAATTACTATAAATGCTGTATGCATAAAAGAAATGACTACAGTGTTGCCCCAGTGTACACCCCCCAATCTGAAGTACGACATTGATGTCAAGGGTATCAGAATCCCTGTCGTTATGAGTGTGGGGGTTACAGTAAGTTGTGTTCAACAGAATTATGAGCCCCCGCTGGAGACACTAATGTCCTCTGGTATTTATGTACAGCTACTCCTCCCTTAATGACAGAGTTCCATTGCTACTGTTCGGCCATGATCAAACAATTTTAGTGCCGTCAGCAAGGAACGGATTACTCTTAAAATAGAGACAAAACTCTAAAGTCTGAAGCTCAAAAATCAATAGAAATTGAAAAAAAAAAAAAGAGAGAGAGAGCTTGTCTTAAGTGTGAACTGTCTAATTCTCACAAAGGGTTCCCCAACCTCTTCTTTACTCCACACCCCCTACAAAGCTTTAGTAAGTCTCTCTGTTTGACCAAGTCTCGCACCCCTTTAAAAAAAAGGTATCGGCACATTTTGAAATTAAAAACAAAAAAAAAATTTCTTACTTTGTTTATTGAATTAGAAAGAGATCTGTGGAGCTTGAAAAACAAAATGTTCACTTATTGCATAAACTAAATTGTTCCTTAATAAATTTTATTGCATAAACTAAATTGTTCCTTAATAAATTTAAAAATGTATTTCATCACTTAAAACTCAATGGCTATTCTGTTCTCATAATCACATCCCCTGAAATACCACCTTGCTCCACCTGAAATACCTCCTTGCTCCACCTGAAATACCTCCTTGCTCCACCTGAAATACCTCCTTGCTCCACCTGAAATACCTCCTCCCTCCACCTGAAATACCCCCTCGCACCCCATGAAATACATCCTCGCACCCCCATACATATCTCATCGCACACCATGAAACACCTCCTTGCGCCCTCTGAAATATCTCCTCGCACACCCTTAGAGGGCAAGCATCCTCCGCATCAGGAAACCTGGAGAGACTGGTTTGGTCCAGCGAGGGATGAATACCAATACAGCTTTTGAAATTATTTTTTTTTAAATTTTACGCTCCTACTCGTATGCTTTACACTTTGCTGTTTGTTTGTATACTATTTTACTTTCTATGAAAATTGAAATCTTTATTATACCTGTGATGAGGTTAATTACAATGACTGCCTTAGTTGTGGTGAGCATGCTTTCTTTAATGCTAAACTTTTTTTTTTTTCTTATAAAGGACAGCATTAAATAGTGGCCATTTACTCCTTCTTGCCATAGATTGTGGGAATTAATTGTTAACACATTTTTTTTTTTTTTTTCATTCACTCATTTTGATGTTGTCATTGTCACAAAGTGACAAAGGGTGTAGATGCTGTGCATGTCACTAAACATTTGATCAGCTTTGACTTTGATTAAACTGATTTGGGGTCGTCCACATAATGGGGGAGGGGCATCCTTAATAATCCTTATATTATGGGCCATCCATGTATTAAATACACACAAAAAAAAAGAAGAAGAAGAATTAGCCCCCCCCCCCCCCCCCC